TTATTGCAGATACAGTTTTACACTGCTGTGCTTTGCTCCTAAGTACTAAATTACTTTCTGACTGACAGAAAATGTCATGCTGCATGCTGAGAAGTTGGTATTTTACACATTTCAAATAATATATATTAAACTATATTTTTGTGGAATTGCTTGATTGTACCTGGCAGAGAACAGCATCCGCCCCACTACTGCCTCTGCTGCAGAAACGCTTAACTCTTCGGGCGAACTTAACAAGCAAAGGGAAAGATCTGCTGTGGCCGTTCACAACTCAACACATCCCTCTCATCATCCATGGTTTCATTCAGGGACACGTCCACCTACTCCTTAATCGCAGCTGTAGACTGTATCATAGGGAGAGGGCGCGAGAGAGAAAATGTGTTAGTTTGCAGAATTTACATAGGTATATTCTGAACAAACTCCAGCCCAGCCCGAGGCTGATGTTGTATGTGAAGAATCGTCCCCAACCCGGCACAAAACCAGACATTTTATCAGGCCTCATCAGGCTCGGATCAGGTAGCAGAATGCATGCACTTTTACTCAGGTATGTATCTGTAATTAAACAGGAAGGGGTTAAGTGTGAATGTGAGCCAGGGTCAAAATAGTAGTTTTATGCAGCAGAATATTAGAGCATTACAGCTGCTCTAATGCTTCCCAATACATCTTCTCTCTATAACTTTATAGAGGGCTCAGCAAAATAGCACGCTGTTTTTGAGTCAATGCAGGACTATAGCAATGGGGTTTTTTGTTTAGTGGAAAAGCTGAGCCACTGAAGGCCCTTAACGACACCAGGTGGAGTTGTTGCGCTGAATCACACAAGGGCATCCTTGACAACTTTGAGACAATATTTCAGACTCTCAGTGAAATATCAGAAAATGATGTGCGAGTCAGTGGGCAAGCCAACACTGGCGTCAATAACTATCAGTATTTTTTTTTCCAGGCATTCTGATATGATGACTGCTCATGCAATGCAATGGACTATTGAAAGCACTACAGTCAACCAAGTTCCACAGTCAAGAGCCCAACTAGTAGCACAATCTCTACTCTGCTAGCAGTAGGAACAGATAGCAACTTTGAAAAACTCTGGAAACATGTGGTTGACTTGTGTGCTCAAAATAGCTTTGAGGCCCACAGCATCCATGGAGGAGGTCCAGCAAAGTGACAGTGACTTATACCTGACTTATCCCTGACTAATTGCATGGGGGGGCTTATGTGAACAAAAGCTTGATACATCACTGCGGTGTCTAGATTACAGTGGACAAAGTGAAATGTTTCTGTGATTGTTTAGCGGTTGAGAAACGTTTGTTCTAACAGTAATTTTTTTTTTCTTTCATACGATTTTGAAATAAAGGAGGTGTTGGCTGTTCATGCTGAAGACCTCACGTCCACTTTACCAGAGGTTGTAGGGCAAATGTGAATGCAGGCGTCCTGATACAATACTGTTCAAAGGTGGCGTGTGCGAATGGCACAAAACCCAAACAATACTGGTGAAAGTAACCTGGTAATGTCCCAGGTTTTATGACTGGGCTATACACCCTCACACACACTGCTATCCTCAGCACGTGCTCCTCTGCTCTGCTGTGCTAATTGTTTACAGAGGGTCTAAGCCGGAAGCCACTTTTTCACGCTTCCACTTTGCACCTGCCCTCAAAAGCTCGACAGTTTCTACACTGCCTGCTGCCTTTTTACTCACCATCTATGGCGCACATGCACACACACTAACCATTGCACCCTTCTGTCAGACTCTTAATCTGTTGGTAAGCTCAGCTGCTCTGGGGCAGCAGTGATGATAAAGCGAATCACAGCTGTCCTCAAATGCCCCCCTATCTCTCTCTCTCTCTCTCTCTGTTGCGCTCTCTCTCTCTCTCTCTCTCTGTTGCGCTCTCTCTCTCTCTCTCTCTGTTGCGCTCTCTCGCTCTCTTTATGGTTGTTTGTTTCTCTGTCTGATTTCAGATCTGAGTGCTCTGACCCAACAACCAGGACTTTGATGAGGGCAGTTGTTTTAGATGTTTAGATAAAGATCTGCTAAGTCAAATGAATCAGTGCGAATGGAGGGGAGATACAGATTTCTTAATTAAATTGGAATCACAGTTTTTGGCTTAATTTTGAGATCTTATGACTTGCATATCAGTATTGAAAAGAACAGTATGTATTCTACTTAATTTTTACGTGGCAAAATGTGCGACATGTATAATTGCAGCGCCGAGGTGTAGATAGCATTTGTGAAAATATAAAAAGTATGCATTATTTTATTAAGGATAATGGAACTTAATAAAATATCTAAACAGCATAATTGCGAAAAAACTGAAAACTGTGTGGACGCCAACTTGGAGGCTAACCTGTGCTTTTAGGCTACAAACCGACTACATAAGGATGCACAACATTTTTAATTTTCAGTGCCAAGATATCGGTGTGATACAACTGCAAGAAGCATGGGGATGGGGGGTAGTTGCGTGTTAGAGATGCAAAATTTTGAATATTTATTTAATAATTCTTTGATATTAATACAGAAAACGCCTGAGAAGGCTAACCTGGTTGTTTAGTCTGCTGTACTGTGCATGCTTCTAATGCATTTAGCTTTGAGTCCTTTCCCCTGTTGTTAATGCAACACGATGCAGAAAGCTTGCCACACGCTGCCTATGGAAATGGCCACACGCTGCCTGTGGAAATGGCCACACTCATAACACAGTAGCGCTTTGCAAGTGGCAGCAGTGTGGTGTACCTAATCCTTCACTTGTGGGGAAAAGTAGATGCACAGTTATGGTGGACACAAGCCCAGCACCTCAGTCATCGAACTACCATCATTGTTTTGCAGTTAACAATGTAGCCCTACTGCAGTTTTCAGAATAAACATGGTTCTTTAATGGGATTATATTAAGTAACAATTCAAGATAGATTTACCTTTTGCAGCCCTAGTTTAATAGGAATGAACCATGAGGACACAGTTTCTGAATCACTTTCATTAGCATCCCCTTAATTTCTTCAGAGTGTTTATACAAAAATAAATAGGAAATACACCCAGAGTGCTATTGTCATCTTTTGATAAGAAGCTTTAGGTGAAAGTGGACCCAATGTTGTCATTTGATTCACGTATCACTTCTCTTGGTGAAACATTTAGCATATATGAAACATTGTCAGACTCTGGGCTCCTCTGGCTCTCCACAATGCTGAGAAGCTAATTTAGGCATTTGTGACCTCACAGTCAGATTCCAGTAACGCCCACTTGGCTGGACTTCTAAAGCTCTTGGAATGAGTACACAAGACATAAGGACACTCCGGTCCAGAATGTCCAGAAATGTGCTGAACGTATTCTTACCAAGACCCATAAATTTTCACATTTCTTCACTATTGGGGTCTTTGGATGTTTCTTTCAGTGTACAAATGCCCAAGCGCCAGTGTATTTGCAGGAACTCTCAATTTCTCAAACTGCATCCTCAGATCTTTTGGAAGTTGTGTCCACAATTATGTAACTTAGTTTCTGGGACGTTTTGAAAATTTATTTTTGTTACTTTGCTTGCTAGCAAAACATTTTTAATCTTGTTTATATTTATTTATTTACATTAGTTGTACAGTCCCATTTCCAAAAAAGAGTTGAGATTCTGTGAAAAATGTAAATAAAAACAGACTGAAATGATGTGCTAATCATTTAAATCCTATATTTCATTGAAAATGGTACAAAGACAACAAATATTAAATGTTGAAACTGAGATATTTTATTGTTTTTGTGAAAAATATATGCCCATTTTGAATTTGATACCAGCAGCACATTTCAAAAAGGTTGGGGTGGGGTCATGTTTACCGCTGTGTTGCGTCACCTTCTTTTAACAACACTGTAATCATTTAAGAACCAAGGAGACCAATTGCTGTAGTTTTAAAAGTGAAATGTTTTCCCGTTCTTGCTTGGTACAGGATTTCAGCTGCTTAACAGTTCAGGGTCTCCTGAATACATACAGAATGTGCTTTGGAATTGTGTTGCTGAATAAGCAAGGCCTAACCTGAAAAAGACGTTGTCAGCAAATGTTGCTCTAGAACCTATATATATTATTCAGCATTAATGGTGCCTTCACAGATGTGCAAGTCTCACATGCAATGTGCACTAATGCCCCCCGTACCATCATGGATGCTGGCTTTTGAACTGTGTACTGATAAGAAGCAATAAACTCTGTTCAGACATTGGTTTTCGGAAGTGTTCCTGAACCCAAGCAGTGATTTCCTCTACAGAATTGTGTCTGTTTTTAATGCAGTGCCTGAAGATGACTGCCAGTCAGTCCTGGTTTTCGGCCTTGTCTTTCGCCTACAGAAATTTCTGAATCCTTTAGAATCTTTTAGAATTTTCTTTGACTAAATCTTTTAATGACAATATGTAGTGTAGATGATGAAATCTTAGTTATCTCTTGAGAAACGTTATTCTTGAATTGTTGCACTGTTTGTCCATGCAGTCCTCCCCATTTTTGCTTCTGAAAGACTCTTTTTATACCTAGTCATGTTACTGACCTGTTGCTAGTTAGTTAGTTGTAAGATGTTCTGTGAAGGTTTTTTTTTTTTTAACCAGTTGTGTGTTGCCCCGTCTCAACTATTTTGAAACGTGTTGCTTCAAATTGGGCATGTATTTTTCAAAAAGCAATGAAAGTTTCAGCATTTGATGTTATCTTTGTACTTTGTTCAAATACATATAGGGTTTGATTGATTTGCACATCATTGCATTCTGTTTTTTTTTTTTGCACAGCGTCCCAACTTTTTTTGGAAATGACGTTGTATTTCACTTAATTTTTTGTGAAGTTCCTTGTGATGATGCTGTCATAGTTGCGCTGAATAAGTAATGTTATTCTTACAAAAATTTAAACTGTAAATGGTTTATTTATATTTGTAGTGTATCAATAACGTATTCCAACATATTTCATGTGGATAACAAGCATTTTATTCTTTCCTGGTGTGACTGATGAGCAGAAACTCATCCAGTCCTTTGCTAATGTCTCTCTTTCTTTCTCTCTTTTACTTCACAGTTCAGTATCAGATGGAAATGATGAGGAGTCTTCGTCATGTGAACATTGATCATCTGCACGTGGGCTGGTATCAGTCCACCTTCTACGGCTCCTTTGTGAGCCGAGCGCTGCTGGACTCTCAGTTCAGCTACCAGCATGCCATCGAGGAGTCTGTGGTGCTTATCTATGGTATGATCCCCACCTCCCTGTATTTCTCTCTTTCTCACTCTGTCTGTCTGTCTGTCTGTCTCTCTCTCTCTCTCTCTCTCTCTCTCTCTATTTAACCCAGAACTAATGAGACTCGTCCAGCTCTGGGTTTGTCTTCGTCTCACTTTGCTCAGTCTTCCATTGCTAATGTTCTCTCCCTCTCCCTATCTCACCATCTCTATTCTTCATGCACCAGCTGGCCAGGAGTAGTCTCTCTCTCTCTCTGAGATCACCTTCCTCATTTGGCCTTGCCTTCTCTATCTTCCTCACTTTCTCTTTTTCTCTCCTCTCTGTCTGTATTTGTCTCTCACTCAGACAGACTCTCGCACTCTTGCTTTCTCTCTCTCTCTCTCTCTCTCTCTCTCTCTCTCTCTCTCTCTCTCTCTCTCTCCTCTCTCTCTCTCCCTCTCTCTCCCTCCCTCTCCTGGCTGTGGACAGTAGTCCCCCCCTTGTATAAATAGTGGCTCAGTGTGCGTAGTGGGCCGGCAGCAGCTCCGTCTAGACAGGGTTTCCTCCTCTGTGTTTGTTTTGCCTGCTATCGGAGCGCTGATGTGGACCTTTAGGAATGCTGGAGGGCTTTGGCTCACTGGACCAGCCGCCCCCCCCAACTCTTTCAGTACCAGTATATCCAGCACAGCACACACCGATCTGCACCAGATGGCCATGTAGCGATGGTTTGAGGGGGTGGGGTGGTGTGGAGATGTGTGTAGCTGCTTTTATGACAGACCTACATACATACACAGTCTCACTCAGCTCAGCCTGCTCCTGTCTTACAGCCTCTCTGATTACAGCAGCGATTCAGTGGAGGGGCTGCAGACGGGGAGGTCTGTTAGTCCAGTCAGTTTTGGTGGGGGGGGCTCTGAAGGGGGGCGTGGAGGCGGCCGAAGGGGAGTCAAGCACAAAACCCCAAGTGTTCTCAGCGCCCTCCCTCTTGGTCCACTTGCTGTCAGTAAGTTTCCTCAGTCGTTCCCCTCACGCCAGATGTAGCTCCCTATCAGAAAGCCGCCTCGTTCTCCAGAAGGCAGGCCCACATCACAAATCTAGATCAGACACCTAACAGCTGCCAGAACCCCCGCCTCACACCCCGCACCCACTCCACTCAGACAATAAGGCCTTTCAGTGTGGCCAAGGGTGCCCTGACTAAGGTGCAGACTGGCATGAAGGCTGCAGACCTGTGAGAGGGAGAGTAGCTCACTATACAATAATGATGTCTATAACTTTCACATGCATTTCCTGATTCTGACTATTAGAGATGGTGTTTTGAATCTTGTTCCTCAAACTAATGGCCTTTTGTAGTCTCCATAAATCCAACACTAAACATAACTAGCTAACCAGCCAGCTCTAGTAATTGACACGTTGGTTTGTGGTGTTGGGAGTGAACAGCTAGACTTCTTCACCTTCCCTGTCTTGTGAGGTGAAGGTACACATTGCCACTTGGCGTAATCAAGTAGCAGATGTTCAAAGTTCAAGCCTCTGTTACGAATAATACCAGATTGAGGAACAGAATGGCACTATGATTATCAAAAATACCTCAAACTTGCATTATTCGTATCAAAAAAGTTTGAAAAATGTATAGGTTTAAATGACCGTTTTCGTTAATTATGTAGTACCTCACGTGGAAGTTTGAAGCTATACCTGCGTTTCAGCATTTTGACGTTGTACTATTAAGTTTTTGCAAACTGTGTTGTGTTTAATGCCATTAACTTGCATAATAGATACTGTATTTTCATACTATGACAGTTTATTCAAATTCAAATATCTAGAATATTTCTTCATGAAACTGTTACCTACTGCTTTGCTTGAAAGATTGCATTTCTGTTATGGTCTGATAACCTGAAGAGAGCCTGTGTTAAACCGTAGGATGGTTTAATAGCACAGGCCCAATTTTAAAAAAAAAAGTGCTGAAAGATTTTAATATGCTTCCCATCCAAACCAACTGAAATGAGGAGATATACAGTCAAGTCCGTAAGTATTTGACAGTTATTTTATTTGTGTCCAACAACTAAATAATTGCAGACTTCCAGCTTTAGTTTGAGGATATTTACATCCAAATCGGGTGAATGATGTAGGAATTACTACCATTTTCATACTGGTTCCCCTGTTTTTATTAAGGTGACTGCTGACAAAAGCAGCAGGGTGAATTCCAAAGTGTATAAGACTATTATCTGCACAGATTCGTCTAAATGCTTCAATACACTGAGGGGCTGTTTGAAAATGGTTGTAATTCCTACTGTTTACTCGATTACTCGATTTATGCCCTCAAATTGAAGCTGAAAGTCTACACTTTGAGCTCATATTCATTATTTCACTTCAGTATTATTTAATTTCAATATGCTGTAATAGACAGCTAAATAAAACTTCAGGTCCATTAAAATTCAGACCATTTAAATACTGTTTTCAGCCAGTATAAAAGATTGTTTTTAGAGATGTCTCATCCTTTATCCCCAGGTGTCTCAACTTCAGAAAAAGTTACATTTCTATCACTTCAGTAACTCGAAGCTCAGGTTCCGGTAATCTTAACCATCAAAGCATTTGTCCTTTACAGCACCAGAGTCTAGCTCCTCCTCTCTTCTGCCTGGACAAAGTTTTATTATGGGTCAGGGCTGGGTGTGTCCAAGCTTATATCTGAGATGTCATATGGACTGTGATTGGCAGATTGATTTGGGTAATTTTGAATGGTTGACCCTGGAGCCATGGACGTCCCTGGCCTGTCTGAGGGCCTGATTGCTCTGTTTTCTGCCCATCAATAACAGAGGCCTGGGCATGGATTAAACCTGTTGCCTGGGCTTCTGCTCGTCACAGTTTACTTTGGTTGCTCATTTTCTGTTTGGTCTAGCTTCAGCGTTTATTTTCGCTGCGTGACTCTTTCTCTCTGTCTCCCTGGTTTTGTGTAGATGGATGACTGGACAGGGTTGTTATGAATGCTGTGCAAGATTAGTGAGAAAGCAGTATTTTAATGGCCATGTGAACTTGCACGTCCTCAAAACTTGACTTTGATGTTGATTCCACACTAGAGACTTATCCATCATTGTGTGTTTGTGAATTTACAGAGACAGCTGTCTGTTTGCTCCCATAACTCCCGTAGTCCAAGTTCGGAAGGCTTTAATTCATTTTCATGCTATACAACACCTGTCACTTGCGTCTGAATAAGTCCTGAATAGGTTTTTTATTTTTCCCTCCACTGTTAAGCGCCACTTTTGTCTTCTCGTATCCCTAAATAGAACCACATTCTGAGGAGTCAGGTAATTGACTGCTTTCTTGAATGACAGAATGCAGGAAAAAGTGGACAGAATTGTGCCAGAAATTTGCAAATCCTCTTTTTGGCTGTCAGAATGTACAGGTGACTGGCAGCTTTTAGCAAGCCTCAACGGAACACTAATAAAGCCGTTCTGACACAGGTTGTCCGCTTGCTGACGGTAGAATTAATCCACTATGACTGGCTTATAAATCTCTTCCCTACAAACATTAGCATCAGTCAGCACCTTTGAAGGCCTCATAACCCAGAATTGAAATTTCGTGCAGTGGCGTCCCTGATACAGTTTAGGGACATAGCCAGGCTTTATAGCCATGACTTTTAAAATCATTAAAACATTTTAAAATAGTGCTTTTTCAGTCTTTCACAGGATTTTGAATTTTGTGTGAGGCAAAAAGGAAATACCATGTCAGGAGTTTCAGCTACTAAAAAAAGCACTTAAAACCCCAAGTCTCCTCCGTTATAACATGACAAACCAAGCTAAACTTGAGCGGACCCATTTGTGTTCTTATGCGCTCACAAAGTGTAGCAAAAACTTAAACTGGGGATAAATGTGATTGAGAAACGCAGACATCACAGAGATAGCTGGAAAAATACTTTATTACAAATTGGCAGCTGACTGGAAATGGTGAAGGCAGTGCCTTGACGTTTGGTTCCATACACTGTAAACATTATAAAGGCTCTTAAATGTGTTCAGCAAGAAACTCTATCTCTGAGCTCCCCTGCGCATGCAGTGTGCATACACTTTCTCTTTGCCTTTATTTCTCTCATATCTCTCTCATGCCTGAATCACTAGTTGCGTTATGATGATGACCGTTTTCTACTACAATAGTCATGAATATTTTGTGTCAAGCCAAAATGTTTGTAAATATCTGATGGTTTCCAAAACCTCTGGAGTTTGATTGAAAGGCATAAGGATGGATTCATTTCCCTTCTCACACTCACACATCAAGCTCTGATCAAGCTCCTGACAAAGCTCCTGGAAAATTGCTTCAGATTGTGAAAATTTGTCACATACCTTGTGCATTATTGGTCCAGTTTAAATGGATTTCAACAGATTTTTTTTTAAATTCCTGCATAATTCAGTTGTTAAAATGGTTAATTGTAAAGAAACTGGGCAAGTCTGATTTCTTTGCAGTTGGGAGTCAGGGTGAGGTGTCCACAATGCAGATTTTACTTGTTACTCCAAATGACCGATTAACTTTTGACTACGCTTTTGACTTTTTAATTGTAATGTTGTTAATGGTTAAATGGTAGTAAATGTGAAAAACCAAGTTTTATGGGGGGACTGCTTTGCCTGACGCTACCCTGCATGTACGCCTCCACCATGCATGGGTTTTAAAAATGTTTAGGCCAGTCTTATCTCAAATATTGTAAAACAGTGTCCCATGCTTCATGCAGCATATTCATAGCCATTTCATGTAATAAGTTTCAGTGAGGTAGCTTTAGTCATTAAACCCTTCTGACGTCTGGGTCCTAAAGTCAGGATAGTCTGTTGTGGAAAATAATTCAGAGATGTGGTGATACACTTTAATGATGTTGGAACTTTGAGTGCACTGACACCGGTATCATTGTGGTGTTCTTTAAAAGCTACTGAGCATTTAAATTAGATTTTTAATAGAAGCACTTAGATGCTCATCTAAAAGTAGGCTGTTGTGTTCAAACTACTCAAACACTCCTGTGTCACAAAAATACATGGATGACATCACATCTCACAGTGTGTGTGCTACTTGAGGCTAGATTTGTAACATGATTGGAATGTATTCATTCATTTTTACCTTCCGATCACTGATCTAGCATCTTCTGCCAGTATTGGCCTGTTACTGAGACCTGGTGTCAGATTGGTGCCGTATAGTGATAATAAGGGGGCTTTTGAGCAACAAAACCCAGTAGGTGAAAGTGAGCAAGTAACACCTATGAATAAGGTAAGACATGATTTTTCACATTTCTTCTTACACTTTTCTCTCTCCATAGATCCCATTAAGACTGCCCAGGGCTCCCTGTCCCTCAAGGCCTATAGGCTGACCCCCAAACTCATGGAGATTTGCAAAGAAAAGGACTTCTCAACAGAAGGGTAGGTCACATTCTTCTGCACTGGTACAGACAGGACACACTGAGTTGTACAGTCATACGTATGCATATACACCACACACTAAGCTCATCAACTCCTCAGCTCCCGAGCACCCCACCAGTCTCTCTTCTTTGAGGTCTTGCCTGCATTCTCTGAATTTGTGCCACTAATTCTGATCAAAACCACTTTGGGCTTTGAAGCTTTTTTCCTGAGCAGCTGAGAGAGTCACCAGCCAATTTCGTGCCAGGAAAGTGTCGAATTTAACCTTGACCGCTCCTACTAATGGACAGATTAGTGCTGGCAGAGACGTGAAAGCATCATAGCATTTGATGTGATCGACCTCCTCATGTATCTCTCTGCTCTCCATATCGAGAGAATCATCTGATTCACATATCTGAAGAGAGGCATAGACATGAGGTAAAAAGGAATTCAACTGCAGTTTAAAAAATTTCTGCATAATTCAACCGTACAGATGTAAACAAAGTCACTCAGAGTGGTTTGATATGAAGGGGTTTATTGTAGAGAAACTTACCAGCTTTGATTTCTTTACAATAATGGTGAAGGGACACACTGTACTAACCCACCAGTGAACCAACATGTATCATCTGAGTTTTTGCTAAGTTTAAAATGGTGGTAAATCTCAGGGGAAAAACTGCTTTACAGTGCCCTGCATGTACATCTCTGCCATTCGTGTTTTTTTTTTTTAGTTTTAGGCCAAAATCTTATCTCAAAACTAGTCTCAAACAATGTCTCAGGCATCAGGCGATGTATTCATACCATTTTATGTAACAGCTTTCAGTGATACAGCTTTTAGAGGCATTAAACGCTTTAGACATCTGGTTCCTATCACCACCACTGTGAACAATTCTGACTTCGTATGTTTTTCTAGAACGGACAGTTTCACATCAAACCTCTCTGAATAACTTTGTTTACATCCTAACCTCTTAATTATGCAATTTTAAAAAGTTAAAAATGCCCACCCTGTTTACTATGAAACAAAGTGTATTTCTCAATTTTGTCTTCCATCCTAATTAACGTTCACTCAGAGCATGGCAGAATTAAATGATAATACTGTGATCACATTTTTGTTGTTGTAAAACAGTGTAAAAACTAGACTGACATTATCTTCTGCAGAGGCCTTTTTAAATTGCTGTGGTTGACCTGAAAAAGGTTGTTGCTTCATGTTGCAACAGTGACTTTTTCAATTTTCGTCTGGTTTTAAATAGGTTTTATATGTACTATCTACCAAAAAAAACCACAGATAATTCTTTTTTTACTGCACAAATAATGAGCGCACAAATCCGCTCAGCCAGAACAGATAATAGAAAGCGTCCCGTCGCCTTTGGGGGAAAAACAAGATACGAGTTGTATCTGAACCGACGTTAAGTGTTTTGATTCAAGCATTTTCTTTGTAGAGGCCAATTTTGAGTGGTTTGCTTGTTCGGCAAGGTCATTGTTTGTGTTTCTGGGTGTTCCCGCAGGCTGAAGAAGGCCAGTGTGGGGTATGAGAACATGTTTGAAGAGGTGCCCATTGTCATCAGGAACTCTCATCTCATCAACGTGCTGTTGTGGGAGCTGGAGGACAAGTCTACTGTAGCAGACAAGCATGAGCTGCTCAACCTCTCCAGCGGGTTAGTCACAAACATACACAGTATGTCTCACACCATACACGACCAGAACAAAATATGATTAACGGTCATACCGTTTTGGTGAAAAGTCACCATTTCTCCAAGTTACACCAGAGAGGCTTTAGGCAACGCATTCAGCTTCAACCGTTTTCAGTAGTGCTGTTAAGAATGTGTTAGCCCACTCATTTTTGTGGAAAAAAAGGGCTGCATAAGGACAAATGAGAGTCATAGCACATCCTCAGAAAAACCCATAAAAATGTGAAAACGGTACAATTCCTTTCATGGTTAGTTTCCAAGCAAATAAATTGTTCTAATATAGTGCACATTTGAATCCGTTGGTTTGTGCTTTGGTTAAGAATAGACCCTTTAGTGAGCACTGTCAGAATGATGTCATAAAGATGCAAAAGCCAGTGATAATACAGAGAAAGGTTAAAGTTACAGTTAGCTGGCTAGTTGTCTAGATCCATGATTCTCAAACAGGTTCCCAGGGACCCCCCCTATGGTCCAGCTTTTTACTCTATCCCTATGTGTTGCACGTTACATTGGAGAAAATATCTGGACCGTTTGGGGGAACCTTAGCTAGATCTATCTGATCTAGATAAGGTTCTGCAGCCTGTAGCCTGTTTTGTAGTGTCCTGTGAAGGAGCAAACTATAGTCCTGTGGTTGCATTATTTGTTGCTATTGTCTCATTAATTTGTAACTTCAGTGTAATTTGTTATTAAAGTGGTCATCTCTCAGCTCAGCAGTGTTTAAACTGATTTGGTATTTTGTTTTTTTGGTAAATTGTAAAATTTTTTTATTTATTTTTTTTTATCAGGCTGCAAAGACAGAAAACAAAAAAATAATCTGCAGTTGCTGCTGTGTAATCCTTTTGTATGTGATCAGCCCGAAGGTCTCTGTCTGCACCTCTGTGGCATTACGATTGTGTCCTGTTGTCAACACTAGCCGACACTGTTGGCCACAGTTTATAAGCATCCTCTCAGTATTCTCAGCGGTCTGTGGTTATACACAGTACTACAGCAAAGAACTGTTGAAGTGATCTAAATATTACTAAATGAGTTTGCAAGTGTGATTGTGTCGAAAGATCTCACATTTGCAGTAACCTGCTGACTCTGCTGTGCAGGAGGTAATTTCCTGGTGTCTGTCTGCATTTAAACACTGGACTTTCAGGGAGTTAAAATGGTTTTTAATGGTGATGAAACAAGGCATTATTTAGAAGACTACTGTACTTAAACGAGTGGCTGCAGTAAAGAGTCATATGCTGGCAGTGCACAAAGTACAGCAAGTCCTCTGTCGTCTTCTGCATATTCTATCTGCCATTTATATACTGCATATTTTTTGTTGTTCAAAATGGTTGTGGTTTATCTTGAAGTGATTCACTGAAAAATCACACTTTTAGAGTTTTCCACTTAGCTCAACCATAGTCAATATGTTTGGTGTCAGTTTTAGAGTGGAGCTACTAGGATAATGTAATAAAGTCTAGATCACCCAAAAAGATTTTAGGTGACTTCCCTTACTTTTTCTGCTACATTAGCCTTGTAGGTCCAGTACAAAAGTAAAGAAGCAGATTTCAGACACCAAGCACATCCTAATGAGAAAACTGTGAATTTGTAAACCTTTCCTTGAAGTGTATTGTATACATGTTAGCAAGGCAGCTATTTATTTTCTATAACCCTCCTAGTTTAATTGATTTTATTTATAATTGTAATGATTACAAGTCATTTACTTTATTTTATTTTATTTATTGATTACAAATTCTTCTACTTAATGTGATATAAATATCCTATGTAAATATCCTTCTGACCTCCCAACACACATTTGTGATCTATTCTACCAACATGGATTTTTTCGAATATGCTGAGCGGGCAGCGACCAGCAGAAATCAAGGATATACTTTTTAAATGGCGATGGCTCTAGTCTGTTTAGTGACATGGTGCCGCCACTACAGCAAAAGACATTTCCAAAACATGGGTTTGAGGTCCAGCTAGAAGACAGAGAGCATGTGGATTTGGCATGGTTTACTCATTTAAATTGCAGTTAATCTTAGCTGTGAAGACACAGATCATCATTTTCTCATCTTAATAAATTACCATACTGTCATTTATTAAGGCTTGAGCCTTGAACATTAAACTTAAATTTGTTAATTTAGTCATACAAATTTTACACATCGCTCAACTTTAATTGTGACTTAAACAAAGCAGCAGTCTCTTCCAGCACGAGTACACCATGAAATAAGATAGCTTTCACAAATTTGCTGGTACAACATAGTGGCCAAGATGAAAACCAAATCAACTGAATGCCTTCGAAAGTGAGAAACCTTTTGAAGAATGTCCAGCTTAATCATGAAGGAATCTGTTTTTATAGATCAGCGCACTCCTTGATTTTCCTGTTCGGCTTCTGTTTTGAATGGAGTCTCAGCGGATGAGCAGATAAATCAATAAATCAGATGCTATCAATTATTCACACACATCAGCTCGTATGTATTTTTTCCTCCTTTTTTTCAATTTAGGAATGCACTCATGGGAAGTTTTGAGATTCCAATTAGCATTTTAATAATTACGTTCTACGCAGCCACGGTTGAGGTGATGCTTTTTGGGACAGAAAAATTAATTTTTGCTACTGCTTTTTTCATTGTCAAAGGTCCAAGTGAGTTTGAAGGTCTGTCCCAGCAGACTAGAAAGGGAATTTTATCTTTTTAATTTGTCTCTCTTAATTCAGACCTGTCAAATGTTTTCTTGGATGAAAGGCACAGCTTTGGCAGCACTGTTAAGCACTTGAAAGAATACATTGCCAATTACTTGCCCTTCTCTCAGGAAAGGCATGAGGACACACATAACTAAACATGTATGCATGTACACACTGCATGCACACACACCTCAACCCCCATGGTCATTTTAATTGTAGCTGCCAAATTGGATAATATTCATTAAGGGCTGTGTAATTGATCATAAATTAATGAAAACTTATGTTTGACCTATGCCAGCTTTGAAAGCTTTTAAGCTATGTTAATTACAAAAATGACTTGTGTTTAATAGCTTACCTGCTGCGTTACAGTGAAACATATCTGAGCCTTGCTCATCACTTAAGGCCTCTAATGAATTACTTTGTTTTTCTGTAATTTTTCCAATTTGGAATTTGTGGTGTTGTGTTGTTGTTTTTTTTTGTAACAAATGGTAGTCATTGGTACCAAGGATGGTTATTTCATTCTGATTTGATAGTTAATTTGAAAGACATTATTTGAACAATTCAGTGCTTTTTTTTTTTTTGGATGGCTTCACTTTAATATAGCTTTGGTACAATCTGCTTCTCATTTGACGTGCGTTAACCTTTAGACAGCCTCAGTAGTCTTTTTGTGCTTTCTTCTTTGGATTAAACAGAAACTCTGTTTACTTGCATGCTCATTTTCCTCTGATGGAATGTGATGTGTGAACTATATATATTTCTTGATTTATACATTTTCGTAACATTTGGAGAGAAGCTGATTTTATTATCAGTATTTAAATTTACTGTTCAGTTTGCTAAACTTGAATTGCTTCAATTACTTTTAATTGTAAGCACAATTTTGCTAAAAATACCCATTCCATGTGTCACTGTTTTCCAGGTGGGGGTGTCCAATGGCTGGCCTGTGGACAGATTTTAACTGTTGTTTGGCTTCTGTTTTAGAGTCTGTTATATACATGTTTTATAATGCGCTGAAGTTTTTCTGTTCATCTGATGGTAGCAGTAGTACTATAAAATCACAGTGTAATGCATCACACTGTAGTAATAACGTTAGCTAAAGTTTGAGCCTTTCTTCTTTGACTAGACCTACAGCTTAATTTACTAAATGATATTTAGTCCAGACTACAGCCATAAAGCACAAATTAAACATTGAGAACTGGCAAGTTTGGCAACGATGGAAATTTGAATTTTTTTCATCTAGAGCTACAGCAAATGAATGTTTCTCAAAAGACTGTATTGAATAAAATGTCAATATTCAGGGAAGAAGAAGGCAGAGAAACTAAAGGAGATGGAAGTTACTTCTTATCAGAGCAAATCTAGTAAATCAGTAGGTTTTAACCATTTAAAACTGAGCAAAAACGTGGCTTTTTGTGCTCTTTAATCTGCTGTTCTCCTTTAACGAAGTGTTCTCTAAATGCTGTGCATTTATTTATAATGTAAAGAATGTAATCGATCAAAACCGAAAAGTCCTGGGTTTTTGTTTAGCTTGTCTTACAAAGTACATTTATGAAATTATATTTTTGAACTTGAATAGGAATATGCGTAACACATTTTGTCATTTTCTTTTTACTTTGATTAAACAAATCACTTGTTTGTTACTGATCCAAATTGCTCCGAATAAGGAATCCAACAACAAAAGCAGCCTTGTGCATCTTTTATATGGTAATGGGAAACAGTGCACAGAATGCACTGATTCTGCACGCTGATATGTTACACTCTGTACCAGCCTATGGCACATGCAGATTGGCTGCAGATTCATACAAGTTTTAGGTGTCATTGCCAAATTGTCAGAATGGATTACCAGCAAGGTGCTCGGGTCTGAGGGTACTGGAAGTAGGGCTGTCTGATTTTAAGATTATTAAACTGCCACTGCTAAAAATAATCAAAACAAAAAAAATCTGAAATTTAAAACTAAAAATAATTTGAGCACAGTAAAGACCTGTGTGTTCGGTTTAGAGTGGAGTTGCTGCTATGGGGATGTGCTGCTAAAACACAAGCAGGTTGAGGTGCAAATAGGGACAGAGTATGTACAGTTATAGGGCTGTTCTGAGCCCCAAAGCTACCTAATAATATTTATTTCTTTAGATTATTTAAGAAAAGTTTATAATGTCCCACACTTTAAATGCATCATTTTTTGTATCAACTGCTGTATCATATGCTCAGTGTGCGTTTGTATTGAAATCTAGCATATCTGTGGGTGCTAATCCGTTACCATGTCATATATCTACAATCTAATTGGTTGACACTCAGCTCATTTGCATAACATTTTTATCCAGAGGGA